CTCAACTTAACCTGTCTTTGCCATCATTGTTTCTAGTGTATAAAAAAAACCCTTTAAACTTGAAAATAAAGAATGCTTAACCTGGTAAGAAGTTATGTAATGCCTGCTAACCTGCCAGGCTTATAATACACTGGGCAAGGTTTCCCCCAGAAAACCTGCTGAGCCTGGTGTTAAACGCACCAGGGGTAGGGCAGGGTTAGGGTTATTACATTTCATTTTATTTTTTAGTTTGTGTGTAACATTTCTCTTGGTTACAAACTCAAACACTTGGCAGGTCAGGTTTTTTTTAAAGATCAGTGATTAGCCAGAACACTGCAATCGGTTGAACATGTCTACATATTTGACATAACATTCCTAGGAAGAAAAACTTAAATAATCTTCATTGATCTTGTATGTTCTGTGTTTATATATATATATAGTTATATAAATCCTTTTTTATCTGTCTCTCCCCATCCTTCAATCTTTATCTATTGTGTCATTCTCTCGTTCTAACTATACTGCTTAGCCTGGTGAAAACCTCATATTCAGTGACTGAAAAAGCAGTCACAAGCTGTTTTTCCTGTTCGCACCACATTAACCAGTGCTGCTCATGTGTTTTTTTGAGACGGTACATTCAGTGACAGGCTGATCTCGGGTCACCGTTTCCACAGTGGAGCGACTCCTTGACCTTGAGCCGCCTCCATTATGCTCTCAGGACTCAGCTGTTGCAGATATGTCAGGAATCCTCACAAGGCCACTCCTAAAGCTGAGGTGTGAAGCCACTGCTGTCGGCTTCAAAAATTCCAGACTGGACAGGAAGCAGCTCTGCATCTTGATTTAATGTGGAGATTCCTCACTGACAGAGCGAAATCAGACGCACATGGCTCCCTGTGTGTCGTTCATCCCTCAGCCATTTCCTTTCTCTTCCCAGCTAGATGGGTTCACAAGAAGACACTTCGTGACAGTTTTCATAAGACATGCGTGAGCGTTGCTGGACTGAAGACATTTTTCAGAGACATCATAAAAGGAATCAATATATTTAGAAATGTGTGATGAATGACAGTTTTGTCTCAGGTTACAGCAAGCTAAATATTTCTCTGCTAGCCCTCATTCATCTGATTCCCGACCATACGACCAGAGTAAGCGGCCCTCATAGTCTTTTGTGTTCAGGATAAATGTCCCATTGGAGCCTGTAAGGCTGTTCCTCGGACAGCGGCCAACCCTGGATGAATGAAGTCATTCTCCAGCATGTGTGGAGCGAAACACAGCTTGAAGGCCCCGCCATGATCTGAGGCTGGAAAACCTTTGGTCCAGGTTACGGAGCTCCCTCAAACTCTGTTTGAACTACAGATGCACCGGTCCGTATCTGTCCCGAAATCGAGAAAGATTCTCTGGATCAGTGACACAATGCTCCAGATCCATAAAAGATCTGTTCAGTCTAATTCTGTACTCTGAAACGTCATGCTTCAGTATTTACATTATATTTAGAGTTCCTAACAGCACTCTCTGAACCATTTGAAAGAAGGTTAACTGCAGTTTAGTTTTAGATGTTTGATCACAATAGACGACCTGCTGTTTTTGTCAGTTTCTCTTTTTTATTTTAAATTTGCTGTTACAGTCTTAATTACACTGTTTTTTGAGCTACTGGTACATTTAAATGTCTGTACTGGTGCAAAGTTCTCAAATAAAATTGTAATTCAGAACAATTATGTCTGTTTGAAAAAAAAAGTCAAAGTAAAACAAGCTGGATTTGGACAAAATATGCAAAGAATCAGGGGGCATTAAAACACCAGCAACTAATCTGAAACAATCATTTCTAATTCTGATCAGAACTGCAAGGATAACTGTGTCACATCCGTCTTTCTCCGCCTCTTCCCAAGTTATTCTGAAAATTGGTGTTTCTTAAAGAGTTCTTCTGTCAGCAAACCGATGGTGTGTGACTAGAGTGTGTTCTACAGTTAATACACTTGAGACCTGCAGGATGCTCCTTGCGCTTCCAAAGCTCAGTTTCAAGCTCGTTTGGATCTGTTTTGTCTCCCTGTACTGACATTAACAGATCCTGTCAAATTATAGCTCACAGTAGTGGCTAAGCAGTTTATTTATATAAAGCCCGGGTGGAGCCACTTCATGTGTTTAGACTGTCTCACGGGGCGTGAAGCGTGTGTATCTCCAGATGTTTACCTGAGTGTTTGGAGGTTGCAGTGAGAGACTCGATTTAAATCTCACCTCTGGAAGAAAAGAATCGTTTCCAAGTCACAACGTCATTCTTCATTGTCTGTGACTATCTTCTAACACTTAGTCCAATTTGGTTTCCATCAGTCCACACAATGTTTTCCAAAAGTCTTAGATATTATCAAGATGATTCTGCCAAATGCCAATGCCAATTTGTTTTTTAAAGTGAGTAGATGTTTTCAATTTGGTGAAATTACTTTTTCACTCGGATCAGGTTGGTGTAGGCCTTCTTTTGTCCTGTAATGTATGCGGATGAGTTCTCAAAAGATGCATGCAGCAGGAAAGAGAAATGAGACAAGTTCATCTTTATTACTTAAAATCTTCTGCAAAGACATTTTATTGAGACAGGAACTTATGTCTGTGGGTGAGAACTAATTTAAATAAATGTTACTGCAAAACTTTTGTTAGTTTCTCGTGTCTGTCTTGGTAACTCCGATGTTTGTCGGTTCTACCTGTGACCTGCTCTTATACAGTTGCATTTCTATAAATTAAAGGTGATAATAAAATATTCTCCGGTTAAAATGTCATATAAATATAGAGATTAATGTCAACTATTTATTTTTCCTTTGATTATGGCTTATGGGTAGCAATGAAATATTTTTTCCCCAAATGGGAATATTAAAATTAATTTTTAATACATAAATACTCTTCGGATCTTGATATGGCCTACACACGCAGAATGTCAGATGTTTTGCTGACATTCACTGACATCTGCCACAATGAGAGTTGCTCACAAACGTTCATTGCTATGAAGTAGAACTGAGTATATTTTTTAAGAGCAGTGTTTGTGGTGCTGTGCCTGCTTTGTCATGCAGTCACAGCCATATAGTTGCCTAAAAACAAACAAAAAAAAAAGAGTAATGAAATTGCACCAAGTCTCCTGGGCCATTCAGTAGCAACATTCACACCAAAGAGTGTTACCAGTGCCACCTTGTGGTTCTTGGTTGTGATGTGTTGACTTAACAAGAAAAAATGTTTCATGATTTAGCTTCTGAATATCAGCCAGTTCCAGTCATCAGCCACATTTTGTAAAGTGTTTCTTCAGAAAAACAACAACTGTCCAAGTTGTCCAGTCTGGTGTGACTGGTTGCTCCTGGTCGGCTGTAACGGAGCAGAGATCTGCTGCCTGCAGCCACCACTGAAAGCTGCTCTGAGTTCAGCGCTTAGGGGCCAGTTTCTCCTTGGACTTAGGCCCAGGCTGCCGTGGTGTCGGTGCCAGGGTTAGTGATGTCAGAGGGAGGCCCCACACACACACACACACACACACACACACACACCACACACACACAACACACACACACACACACACACACACACACACACACACACACACACACACACACACACACACACACACACACACACACTCTACTGAAGCTGAGCCAAGTTTAACAGCAGGTAATGTTGTGTTAGTGAATGACTATTCCAGATGAGTGTGTGTGCGCGCCTTGCAGGGCTAATGGGAGTGTGTTACCTTTATCTGTGTTTGGTGTGAGGCCAGCAGCCAGCTCTCTGCAGGGTGCTCGGTAAACAACCAATCAGACTGGCTGCTGTAGGAACTTCATCAAGGCTGTGCAGTGTGTCATGCTATGTTATGCTGTTAATGGTGCATGGAGATAGTTGTCATGTGGAAGGTGGTCAGAGAGGGACTGTAAAGGAATAATCCAGCATTTTTCTTCTCAGCTTCATTCCACTGCAGATGAGAGGATTGATCAAGCAGGGGTTTTGTGTTGCATAGCGATGCACCGATTAAACCCACAACAACAATAAGCAATAAATCAGATAATCACGTGGTAAATTAAAATGAGCTCTGTCATTTTCATCGTCTAATCTTTTTTTTTTTTTCTCCTTTTCCCTCCTGGGGGCTTTTTGCGGGCTCTAGTGTCCCTTACATGACAATAGACTGACAAGAAAGGGGTAAAGAGAGGGGGGAAGACATGCAGCAAATATTGTCTTGTCCGGGAGTCGAACCCACGACGGCTGCGTCGAGGACTCAAGGCCTCCAAATGTGGGTCGCGCTATTCCCTACGCCACCACACCATGCTGTGTATCAGCTAGTCTTGAAAGAGAATCTCAAAAAGCTGTAATTTTGAAAAACTTGGTGCCTGTGTTCTTTCTCTGAGCCCAGTGATTGATAGGTTTTAAAGGCCAAATTTGTTTTGTTGAGACGTTATACTCCATTTTATCTATTGATTTTGTCTTCTTCTAGTCCCAGCGCTAAATGAAATTAAATTGTACTTGTGTTATTCTGCCTTCAATCCTCTTGTGTACTCAAACACTGTTTCTGGTATTTTCACGATTAAAAACAATGAGGGTTGACCCTAACCCTCTTATCTATTTCCTAAATTATTGCACACTTATATTTTAAAACATGGAATTCAGCAACTTAGTTTTGAGAAAATATTTTAAAGAACATCAATCAGCCGGCTTTCTACTTTCTTCCCTAGGAACAATAAAGCTTTGACGCTCAGATATTAAATAAATTCAACTTCAGTAACTAAAATATTGAAAATCACTATTGGTATTTTGTCCCAAATCAAGACAACATACTTTAAAGGTATACAGACTGGAAGTGGATTCTTGCTAGTGGCGTCCTACAATAAGCACACATTACAATTTAGTAATGTGTCAGAAGAATGCAATTGATGTTTTTTTTTTTTTGCTAATCAGTTCTTCAGTACAGGAACTAACTGCGATATTTTTCCAACCACATTGAAGAAGTTTTTTTGTGTTCTAGGGGTCTTGATTAAAATTTCTTGTTGTTCTCTCCCCGTCTCCGTCTGGATCAGAGGTCTTAGTGGAGTTCGAATACGACGCACTCCACGATGATGAGCTGACACTGCGGCCGGGTGACATCATCAAGAATGTGCGCTACATCGAGGAGGAGGGCTGGATGGAGGGGGAGCTCAACGGGAGGAGAGGGGTCTTCCCAGACAACTTTGTTAAGGTTAGTTGAACATCGATGTATTGATTTCCCCTGTGCTGCTGACAGGCCAGCTCCTGGGAGGTTGAATTTCATCAGAGTACCTCCAAGTAATGGCAAAAAATATTGCAATGTTTGTTTGTAAATATCTCTAATAATATGACAGACAATATTCCACATTTTCTGCTTTTTAAAACAAATATGTAACTACTAAGTTTTTTTCCCCCCCTACTTTTCTTATTTTCACCAAAATGAAAATATCTATTTCTTTATACAAAATACAAAATCACAGAATACTTTTAGTGCACTGAAGGAAGAAATGAATTATCAAGGGTAAATAAAATACTTCGATACAAATGAAGCAGGTTTAGTTTGACAAGATGTTGTTTTTTATGAATTCAAACTTAATCATGTTTTTAAGAAAAAATAAAATTGTTCTCTTAAAAAATGCTCAACACCAAAATATGTCGCATAAAGTGAAAGCTTGTGCTCACTTCTTAATGATCAGTAACTATGTTCATTTTAATTTCCTCCATCTGTCACAGATAATGATGATAATAACGATTTTATTTTTTAGCTTTGATTTTCCTCCAGACCCTGCCCCAAAGGCAGGAATTTCCACTCTGCACATCCGTGTCTCACACGAAATATAATAAACTCTGACATAATTAACTAACCTTTAATTATTTTACATTGAAAACAAGCTGCAGGAAATCAGCTCTAGTTCTTCAGCTGCTTTGTTCCTTCCAGCCAATTGGTATCATTAACAGTTTATGTTGTGAGTCAGCATTTCGCCGTGGGCCGCTCCGCTCATCTTTCCTCGTGTCTCCTCCCTGCTCCTTCGATCCTTTAATCCTCACGGCGAGATAGGTAATCCGCTAAGCGACCTGCCGCAGCCGGCGGGCCTAGATGCGTAATCCTGTAAGGAGCAAGCAGTTGAACTTTGCCCCCAACAACATGACAGCAGGTTCGCATGCCGTGTTGTCACAGTGAGCGATAAGAGGCAGGAAACATGTGGGAATGTGCCACGGTAAGGCTGCCGGCCGACAGCTAAATGCTAATATCAGGATTGGAAGGATGGAAATGTGGAATCTGTAATCTGTGAGGCCACAGAGAGCTGGGAGGCTTGAGATTTTATTTACTTGCTCACGTCGCTGTCTGGTGTGTCTGGATTTACGGCCATCCGCTTTCCTGTCAGAGTTTAGTTTATCTCTTAGCTTCAAGGCATCGTCGTTGAGTAAATCTGATGGTTTCTGTCCACTTTGTGTTTTTGCATCTTCATAGTGAGGCTGATGTATATTTAGTAGGTATAATTTGACTGAAATCTTTTTGGCTGTTCACACCAGATGTTTCTACTTGATATAAACTCAGTAAATATATAAATGACTTTGAGAACCTGCGATGTGTAAACAAAGTTACAGTAGTGACTTTTGAGTGTCTTTAGGATAGCTAGCTCTTAATATTTCACTTTATTACCCGTCAGCTGACACATACACACCCATGGAGACAAATACCCAGAGCTGTGTTGTGTGCCTGCTCACTCCTCAGCCCCTCTAAGGCATGGTGAAATGACTATTTAAACATTTACAAGCGCCTTAATGAAGTTTTTCTTCACTGTTTGCTGTTTAGGTTTTAGTGAGACCAGCACAAAGTAGTTCATGATGGAAAATTAGAATGAGACAAAATAATGCCAACACACTTCGTTTGCCATTCCCGTTCTCATTTTGAGGCTTTTAGGCTTAATTTTCCCAACTACATAGGAATTTGTTGGGAAAATTCCAACTTTCTTCAGATTCTGGGATGGATGGATGTAACAGAATTGCCTATACAAAGCCTAGACAGCTTTTTTGAGAATGTCACTTTTTCCACAGCTCAACTTTTCATAGAAAGGAAAGAAATTCTTGTCTGTCTTAATGGAATGAAATCATCTTCTTTAAATAATTAACACCCTGCGTGCGTTTAGGGTGTGGTGCCACCACGAGCTTGTTCTTGTGAGCAGACTGTTGCTCTGCTTTCCCAGCTCAAAGTGCAGAGCTGGCGGTTTGTAGCTTTGTCACTGGAGCTCAGAGCCTCCCGGAGCGACAGGCCTGCAACCCGCTCAGGTCCTCCGCTCTGTCTGGAGAGAAACCTGCTAATGCTGGACTCATCTTAATGTTTCCTGTGGTTTCACACTCAGCTGGATTTCCTCTCCACTGGAACTTCCATGTCAGCATTTGTAAACCAGGAAGTAGGCCATGAATGGGATCACCATGCGCACACACCTATACATACACATTTACAGAGAACACAACCTTTATGGATCAGCGCATTTCTTTTCTTTCTTTTATTTTTTTCGGTTGTGAATAAATAAAGAAAAGATGCGGTAAACCTAATATGTTGTATTTTATAGCTCAGGTTTTGGAGTTTGCTCAACAATCTTAAAAGTTTAGAATGAGATTCATTGGTTGATGTAGCTTCCTGTCTATGAATTGTTGTACTGAGCAAAACATTTATCTATTTATTAACTTTTTGGGTGAACGTAAGAAATGCGCACTTTAGTCCTGTGACTGATTTTTGATCTCTGATATCTGTAAAACTTTTACCTGCTGTTTGAGATTTTATTAGCTTCAGGTGCTACATAGCTACTGTAATCTCCAGACTTTAAGCCATTACTTTATTCACCCACTTTGAGCTTTGTGAGTTGGCTACTGAATGGCTTTTCACCAATGTGATTCCAAAGGCAGCGTGATGATGAAGGATATTATTGGATGCCACAAAGAAAGACCAACAAATTTTACTTACTTTATCAAAAGTTTTGATGAGTTTTTACAGTGTGTGTAAAATAAATTTTCTTTTCAAAGTTAATGATTGTATCTCAGGACTTGTAATAGAAATTACAGTAGTTGCTGCTTGTTTTCGCATATTAATAAGATGCACAGCAGAACTGCATTTAACACTAGATGGTGTCTGATGTTCACTATATCCGAGCTGCTAATTTTTTATTTTAAATCGTGAGGTAACTGAAAATGGCTTTATTGGTACTTTTATTTTCAGACTGTTAGACTAAGCCTGATAAAACATGACAACTGGAATGCTGTTCATTGTAGCGGTCGCCATTTCTTCCTTCCTAAGTTAATATGTGAAGCTGCAGGAAATGGAGGGAAGCTAAAGTGAAGCGTCTGAGCTGGAGTATAAATCTGATAAATCTGCAATTCAAAGATTGTTCCACACAGATTCCACATTGGCAACATAGTAGCTTGTCAGCAGCGTCAAATAATTTCCAATCTTGCTGCTTACTCAGATCTCCTCCGCTGTATCGCTCCACCCAAACGTTAGTCTGACTTCAGGCTGAATAATGTAACATCTGACTTTGTTGCTCCTGCAACCGCAAAGTTTTCTATCGGGTGGAGATTTAAGTTTATTTACTGACTTTCGGTAATTAATACAGAAATGTGATGGCGGCACCTGTTTCCCTGGTTTGACCACATGTATCTGAACTCGGTGGGGAAACCCTGATTCCATTCCTGATGCTCTGTGCGATTTGGACGTTTTGTTCGGGAGTTTCCCAGGATCAGCCTCTTTGGCAGCTACTTTACAGCCGGACTCTCTGACTTGACTGGAATCAGCAGCAGGCCAGGCGCTCCATTTAGACACGAGCGTCTTGAAAGTTTTACGACGTTGTGCCTGCGGAGCGCCTGCAGCAGATGCCACAGGTCGCATTTCGCTTCTCCTCACCAGGCCTGGTTTACACGTCCTCTTTCTATGGAAGCCAGTCGATGTGTCTGTGCACAGTTCCTGTTTGGAATGTTCCCCCTGACCACATTCAGCAGTGCTCTGGATGACCACAGCCTGTTTTTGATGCATTAATTTGCATTGTAGAGAAAACTGCGGATGCCCCCCACCCCAGCCCCAATATATGGGAAATGTTACTTAATATTAAAGTGTTTGACACTTATTTTTCATGTTCTTTTTCCTTAGGAGCTAAAAAAGGATCCCAAAGAGGTCAAGGAAACCAGAAATGAGCCAAAGGAGGAGCCCAGCCAACCTCAGGGCAGAGAGAGCAGCGTGGCCAACCTGGTCAAGAGGATAAGCGTCATCGGCATCCCGACCGGGGGATTCCAGCCCATGCCCCCCGCGGCATCAAAGAGTAAGAGACGGGATTTCTCCTTCCACCACATTCCTATTCCATTCTGGTCAAACTAACTTTAACAGCGGCAGTTATGTAATATTAAAGTAATATTAAAGTATAAAATAGCAAATTGCTTAGTTCTCTCACGTGTCTTAACAGAAACTAAGCTGTTCATAGATTTATATATTCAGTTCAGAGTGAATACATGTTTTACATTTCAAAACATGTAATTTTCTCAGCTTGAAATTAAGCCATATTTATAGAAATCGGGTAAGAAATAAGGGCGCTACCAACATTTTTGTGACGGATTCTTGTGACTGTTCCAATGCTCATCCCGCATTGGAGACGGATCCTGGTCATGTTGTTCCTTTTGTTTCAGTTGGACCCAACAAACCCTGTGCTCTCATTTTTTTGTTCTCATCAATGCGCATTTGTTCTGCTTTTAAATATTAATCCTCATGATTACTACTAATATAATAAACTTCTCCTTGGTATTGTCATTGTAGGATATTACCGGCCAGCTCACGTAACTGCTGAGTCTTTTTGTGCTTCCAAACTGTGAAAAATGTTGCTTTTGCTAGTTAGTTCTGTTAAGGAAGCTACTGTGATGTGATATTGGAGCTACGTTTACATGTCAAATATGTGCAAAACCTTTTCAGTAAACTGCTAAAATGCAAAAAAACAAAACAAAACATCCCACAATTTCAAATTTGCTGCGTCACCTCGGCGTCTGATTAAGGCTTCAGAGCGACAAACCCCTCCTACGTGGGAGAGGCTGCAGATGCTGCAGTAAATGAGGTTTATCCAAACCAGTCACATGAAAAATGAACAGCGATTTCTTTTTTCTTTCTTCTTTTTAGTTTTTTTTAAAGGGGATTCAAAATATAGCCTGTCTAAGTTGATTAATTCCAGTCGAATTATGTAAGTTTGAATTTGAGAACATCTCTTGTTTTTATCTCATTAATTAAATTTGACCTCATGATGTACTGATAGTGTGCCTGAGCTTGCGTGTTCAGTCATGCTCACAGCTGTGTGTGTGAGCTGCATACCTCCCATGTGTTCAGTCTTGCTTAGTAAGACCATAACTGATACAGTTTGTGTCTGGTGCTCTTACTGCTGTCTAACAGTTTCTGTTCTCAGAGAGCGCCCCGCTTATCAAAGCTGAAAACATGAAGTGAAACCTGAACTTCTCAAGCTAAATGTTAAATCTGTTATTTACTGTCACAAAGTGATGAGTGTCTTAAAGCAAGCGCTGTACCTCAAAGAGCAGAATGTTCCTGTTGTTAGAAGTGTGAAAGGAAGAAAGATCTGATCTGTCTCCTGCTTGGACTGACAGGGATTTCAGCTGGATTCTCTGTTTATTATGTGCCTAAAATGACAATTATGTTGTTTTTCCTATAAGATGAGAGTTTTAACACAGGCAAATATCTGATCTGCCTGAAACCCTTTGCTGTTAAGAGACACATTGGTCATAATTTAGTGACCAGGTTTTGATCTGTGGGTTTTGTAAAGTTATGTTGCAGTTGCAGACTGCATAATAAAAAGCATTGCTATGATGATGAGCTGAAAGCGGAATGTCTAAGAGAACAAGAGCTTCTTAAAGAGACAGAAGGCCATTTTCAAGGTGTCAAATTGCAAAGTAGAATTTTTTTACGTTATGTATGTTATATGCAGCATATTTTCAACAATTGAAGGTTACATTGTCACTTGACTGTGTTACAAAATGGTACTGTGTGTGTCTAAAATACATATCACATCTTTAAAACAAGGATATGTTCTAACATCTAAAATATATATTGCTCAGCCTGACTAACATGACTGTACCAGGAGTGAGTTTGTGGATGTTCCTAGAGAATATCGATCCTTATCTCAACTCTGAGACAGCTAACAGTTACAGTCATCATTATCGTCGCTCTTAGAGGTACAACAAACAGTCCTCGAATAGGCAACTTTTCTCTGAACAATTTGAATCTAGAAGTATTTTCCAATAGATATTGGTTTTATAAAAACATTTTGTTGAATTCAGAGTCCAAATTAGCTTCAATGCTAATGCATGGATGGCTAATGTTACCTTAAATGCTTTCATGTCAAATTCAAATTCAAAAATACTTCATTAATCCCAAAGGGAAGTTAAATGTGATATCATATTGGCTAAAATAATGAGTCACAATAACTTAATTCGTTTAGTAAGTCAACTTGAGTTTTTAAGTCCAAATTAGCCAAAAAGTTAATGTTAGCTTATATGCTATAATCATGCTTCATACAGCCAGATTGAGCTCTGGTCGGTTACATCTGTTTCTTAAACACCTGTCCTTCAGGCTGGGTGTGTCTCCCATAGCACAATCCAGCAGGTTTTGCACCTTTCTTTGCTTACACCTGTCAGTTGCTGACATTTGAAAGTGAACACAGATTCACAGACATTCATGGACGTATTTTGATATAAATATAGACTTATTTTTGTTTTGCCTTTTCTTTTTCTTCCTTGTCCCCAACAGAGCCGAAGAGAAGGCAGTGCAAGGTACAGTTTGATTATCAGCCGGTAAACGAAGATGAACTGGAGCTGAAAGTTGGAGACATCGTCGACATCTTAGAAGAGGTAACTTAAATGTTTCAGTCATGTACTCTGCTCATGGTTGGAATCTTACCAGCTCCTTTTAAATGTGGGTCTGCTGAAGCAAGAATGCCATATTGTTGGCTTGTTTTTAAAGCGCTGAGCATCTCCTGACTGGTTTTGTTCTCTGCAAGTCCGAGCACGCAGACAGACCGAGCAAACATTTGTTTCTTCATCCAACCGACCTGAAAGTCAGAACATTAGAGGATCGATTTATTTTTTTCCGGTGGCAGGTTGAAGAGGGTTGGTGGAGCGGCAGTCTCAACGGCAAATCCGGACTGTTTCCGTCCAACTTCGTCAAGGAGCTGGAGGCTGCAGGAGAGGAGGCAGAGGCCAACGACACGGCAGCTGACAAACCTGGTAAAGTTGACGGGCTCAGCAGCATTTCTAGATACACTGCAGCAAAAGGAAAACTAAATCATCGTAGGGGAACTAGAGCGTTACTCTGGGTTTGACATTTGGACGAAATGTTAACAAAACAAAACAAAACAATGGGTCTTTGCAGCTTAAGAACAAATGTCAAGTGTGTGCTGCCTACAGCAGAAAAACGCTGGATGGAAACTCCAGTGGAAGTTGGTGGAAATTTACAAGTTGTAGTTCATTCAAACGAGTAAATATCAAAGAGATTAAAAGGTAATTACTTTGTCTAACATCCCAATGATTTGCTGCCAGCAAGATTTTTGTCACCAAGGGCGTCAAACATGGAGCCAAAGATTTTCCGATTTGATTTCAATCATGAGGGGGAGAAACAATTGTACGCAATTCTCCACTGTGACGTATGGTGGTGGAAGCATCATGCTGCAGAGATGCTTTTGTTTATTAAAAAAAACATAAAATAGATTTGAACCAAAACAGAGAAATTGTGTAATTATGTTAGAAGTGGACAGGTTGAAACTCGATCATTTGGTTTATTTCACTGTTTGAGTTTCACTTTTTTTTTTCTGTGTATTAAAACAAAAAAAAGTTAATCCCATACCAGTAATTCAGAACCCAGTTTTTACAATACATATTTTAATACCTCACCATTACGTAAAGTCAGAAAGAATGAAGCCGTCTGGCAGCACAGTTCCGTGCTGCCAGACGGCCATGGGGCTGAGCAAAATGTGCCTGGCTGCATGCAGCGTCCCAATTAGAACGTTGTCACCTTGGTCTCAGCACAACGGGGAGAAGAAGTCATGCATACAAATTCACTGATTGCTGTAAGCTGACCATGCTGAGACCTGGAGTTGGGCTGCTTCACTCGCTGAGCAGCTTGCTTTCTCTCTGTACACAACTGAACAGAGACGGAAGTAAAAGTGGCAGAAGGGTTGGTACACTCAGTTTGCTGAATGAGCTTAAAGTATCGAGTCAGAACCTGGAGTAAAGAAAACCCAAGTCGCATCCAGAGGGGGGAAAAAAAAAGGTGATTTAAAGTTGTTCAAGACCTGAGTGCATATTTGAATGTCTAGTGACCAATGCTTAAGTGATTTATCATTTCTTAGTTCTAACTGCAGAGTAGTTAGAACAAGGATAAAACTGACTGAAAGAATTTTCCCTCAATAGTATTTTACAGTCTTCCCTCCTAACTGCTCTTGTAGTTATGTTTGACTATAAGTGTAATTGGACAAGGTCTTTTATTAGCGCAGAGGAAGCCTAACCTTGAATTAGTTTATATACAAGTATGACATCTGAATAAATTATCATGTTTTCCCAACTCAAAAAGTCATATTCATGTAACATTGTACATTTATTTTTGATATGTTTTTTATCCAAAGTCTGCTTGCAGAGTCGACTTATTGGTTGTAGTGTGGTCCGACGCTCATGGAACCAACTCATGATTCAGTATTTTTTATTGGAAATACAGCAATTAAATCTAATTTTGAAGCTTCCAATGTCAAGTTATTCCTAATTTAGAACTTAACATGTGCAATAAATGACAAGTTCTTTGTAACTTGCAGGATTAATCCAAAGTAAAACACCAAAGGATTTGAACTTCCCCAAGAAGTACAGTGTGCTCCGTTCTTTCTTGTAGACGGTGTCAGTGTTGGACGATACAGGCCTGGTGGAGATTGCAGCAATGTTTTATCTGACTTTGTTGGGTCTCCTTGCAGATGGAAGTGGAATAGAACCACCTGCCACTCCCACATCTCCTCAGCCAGACTCGGGAAACGGAGCCACTCATCAGCCCAGACGGATCATAGGCGTCGGCTTCGGAGACATTTTCAAAGGAGGTCCGGTGAAACTAAGAACACAGCCCAGCCCCATCACAGAGGACAGGAAAGTCAAAGACCAAGAGAAAGACAAAGCTGGTCCGGCTCAGGTACGTCTGATCACATGTACATCACATGTAGGAACACTGGATAGTAGTGGCCAGAACCAGAACCGTTTCTGGTTTTCACTAATCTGAGCACAAAGGTTACGAAAACCCCCTCAGAGCTGAACACTCCTGATGCCTCCATTAAAATTCATGTCCGGTCTGTGTTTGTTGTGAACACACTTATTTCTGCTCTCATCAGCACAAGTGGAGATTATCTTCTGTTTCTTCCTGTGGATTTGCAGGCTGGTATTGCATTGCTTCCATCTCATCTCCCGTTCTGTAGTGCTCTGGACAAAAGCTCTGCTGCACCAGGTTCTTATGCTGTCTGGTGCTCTAGCAGAAGTTTGTGATCATATGTATGAGTTGCAGAAACTAGAAGGGGGCGAACTTTAACCCTCACGAATTCCCATCCAGCAGTTATCCATTTCTTTTAGAAGAGAGCATGTTCACCTGCCCATGATGGTTGTGTCATCTGCAGAGGTAATGATGTCAAACTCATTTGGCCCTGCAACTCTTTGGGAAACGTGTGTTTGACAGATTTCCCTGCGAAATCTTGACTTTTAGGCATTCCTGCTCTACCCCACCTGTGGTCTGACCATCAAGTGATTGAAGTTCTAGTATAACAGAGAAGCAATGGCTCTAGAGCTTCATGAAGAATCTGGATAGAGTTTTGCTACAATATAAAGGACTTAAGATAAAACTGTTCTTGTCCACAAGCAAAGTATATCTGGTCAGATAAAGCAGAAAGAGAGGGTGTTACACTTGATTAACCAGATATTGTCTTGTCCAACATGTTTCTGCCTTCTCACTTTGCTGAAGTGTCAACTTGTGTCGAAGTCATGTGAAGGGGAAGTATTTGTCTTCTTCTCAGAAACTGTAGCCTGATCTGATTCTCAAGACAAGCAGAAAGTATAGCTCAGTCACTCTGCTAGAAAAGCATTGACCTCCTGCAGGTTTTAGCCAGTTTCCTAGTTATTGTAAATGGACCTTTTACAGTGTTTTGACTGTATAGTCCAGTAGATGGACCATCAAGAGATCATTGTTTGGGGACCAAAGTTTACAACCTTTTTTAGATTTTCAGCTGTTGCGGCTCGCTTTCTGACTGCACTGAACAATACCTCTGAACATGACACTGAGCGCAACTTCCTTCTTCACAAAATTAGAAACAAAAATGGAGTGACGTCAGATTCATCGGTTGTTATTGTTGACATGGAAGACACCGGATAAAGTTTTTAAGACTGTGTGTCATTAGAAACGTTTAATCTTTCTAATCATTCTGGAAACTGTCTGAAGAGAAGGTGAGCAGCAAAGGTCCCAGGGTTGAGACCATGCCCATTTAGGATGACTTCCATGAGGTCTAATGGTCTGTATTTGGTCGACTAGCTACACCACAAGCAATCCTAAATGCTAATACAGCTGCTGTCCTCTGAAAATGTCCCATTAGTACCGTGTTGTCAGTCTTTCTGCTGATTCAGCACATTTATGGCAATACTGGAAACAGTTTCCTATCAGTTTGTAGAAAATATGTTCAGATCCTTAGTTCTCTAGGTTTACCTAAAACGTCTAACAAAGACCCACTATCAGCATAAACTATATTATGTTTATGCTGACTCAAAAGACTATTTTTATGTATTAACAGAAACCAAGGTTTATTTTATCCTTTTCTGCTTTTAGTCTTGAGCTTGATGTATCAAATAAAAACTGATAGTGTTTCTGCTGTCTGACACTATTAACACTCCTCCTTAAATAGCGTAGAGTTTTAACTTTGTGTTGAAACTCTTCCCTCCTCTCTGTCTCTTTCTCCTCACATCAGCCGTCACACTGTTTCACCACTAACGCTCTTCACTTTTCTCTGCTCCTCACCACATGTGGCATGCACTCTTCTCTTTTGAGCATCAGACTTTCTCATACAACATCGATCCACCCGTCTCCTGCCTGTGTGCTGAACCAGTGGCAGGTTTAAGCTAGCACCGCAGTTGTGGCTGAGATTTTTCCCCACCACTTCCATTAGTTCTAATCTTTAGTCGCCATACATTCAGCTTCTACAAGCAGAAGACATTCGTATTCCATATATCTATTGTCTTCCAGATAAGGCTCCTCCGCGCAAAGCCACATTGTCACTCATGACCGATAAATCACTCCCATCTGTATGGTTTGCTTCATTTTAGCCAGTCCCATCATTACCATCAGCCGCAAAGCCTGCCCATCCCAACATGACTGACTCCCAGAGGGTGGAAGTAGACGGCAAGCACAAAGGTAAAACTCTTCTACAGCCTGAAGCTGTAACATGAATGATAGACTAGCAAACATGCCTTGTTAATGCATTGAAAACCGTCAATACATTGTTCCGCTCGAGGCGGGAGCAGCTCTTAAGTTTGCTCCGATTTGTTCTCTAGTTTGCTCCGATTTGTTCTCTAGTTCATAGTCTTTTTATGATGTCCTCACATCAAAATTACTTTTATTTTGATTGAAATAATTCAAAAAAGAGGCTTTAATGTTTTAATTGCACTTTAAACATTTAAGTTGACCTTAAATACGCTAATCAAAGGTTTTAAATTTGGGCTATTCATCTCTGTATGTAGTTTGTTTTTTTTTTCTGGTCGGGGAAGATGTGAGTCACGTGCTGACATCTTCATTGCTTTCTGTGACTCGAGGTGGTTGGAAATAACCTTCCTGTATGCTGCATGATTCTATACTACTTCAAATACCAAATTTAAATATATTTTAAAATAACATATGGATGCTCACGGCATGAGAATGGTTGTAGACTTTTATTTTTTTAGTGATCACTAACATGGAGTCTTTGATCTCAGCTTAAATTGTGCAACTGTGTCACCTAGTGGTGTAAATTTGTTACTGCATTATATCATTTCTATATAGTGAAACACAATACTTTGAAAAATGTTTTCATCAGTGAAATTTGGGGAATTTGTGTGTCAAACACACAACAAAAGTGTACAGGAATTATTCTTACATTCCATCAATTTGGGCCGTCTTTGAGAAGCTCAAGTAGAAAAGCATTAGAAATGCAGCAGACCATGTAAATGACACAGGAAACATGTAGAAGATGATTTTCTGGACATTTTAGACTAAAATTAAACTTTTTTCCTCATGCCAATGACTTTCAAATATGGCAGTGTCAGTATTCTGAGCGGATGCTCGTCAGAGACCAGGTGCAAAGGTTCACCTGCCAGCAGTAAAATCAATCCAAAGCAAACAGTAAAGGCCAAACTCTAATCTACTTGAGAGTCTGTGGCGAGGCTTAAACTGTGATGCACATCCGTTTGTCTTCTCTGAAAGTGTTTTGCCAAGAATGTGCAGAAATTTCCACTGAGAGATCAGAACTTTAAAGCCTCATATGGTGAACTTGTGCGTATTTTCGGCTGCGTGTTGTCGAGTTTGTGTTAGTTACTGTACATCGTCTGGTTATGTGCAGCTCCCACGGCGAAGGAGTTCTGTAAGGTCAAGTATGCTTACGAGGGCAAGAACGAGGACGAGCTGAGCCTCAAGGAAGGAGAGCTGGTCCACATCCTGAGCAAGGTGAGCATCCAGGCTCACTGTCTTCTTTTCCAAATATTTGCCTTGGTGTGTGGTTTGATTTATTTTTATGGAAATATTCCTAGGATTATTCCTGCCAACTTGTCATTTATAAAGACAGGAGAGCTGTCATCACCTTGGACAATATAACAATGAGTGATGGAACATTTACTTAGAAAAGTATTGACTTTTCTAAGTAAACTTTTTTTGTATACTTTTTTTTTTCCAATATTGCATAAAATAAAAGTGGTTAAGTAATAAATCCCCAGTTATTTGTTTAGATAATTTATTAGTAGAATAGTGATGAGCTGCAGCCCTAGTGTCATGTTTCTCTACTACCACTGTGCTGACTGATGGAAACAACCTGAAAGCACAGTGTGCGGATGGTGACCTGCTGCCATTTAGTGAATCCCAGGAGAAATTGGCAATCACTTTGACTTTTTATTTTTTTTGTAGGAAATAAAAAGCGCAGCTTTGTAAAAACTGACTCCAGTGATGCCTTCTCTGACAGGACACGGGTGAACCTGGGTGGTGGAGGGGGGAGGTCGGAGGCAGAGACGGGGTCTTCCCTAACAACTTTGTTACAATTGTTCCCGAAACAGAGAAGGAGGTGAGACGTTTGATCCCATCAGCGCCTTCCATTCTTCTGCCTTCACATGGAGTTTCAACAAACTCATGAGATGAAGATGAAGATTAGCAAGTTCATGTTTAGAATCTGCTGCTTTGATTATGAATAACTTTTCCCTGTCAGTCACTAGGCTCACATTTAGATCTGTCACATGCTGTGGTTTACATCTGGAAATTTTGCACATGCGCACATCACTGGAGGGCAGCAAGACTATTCTTTTTCATGCCGTCAATAGCTGCTCTGTCACGGTAGAACAATCCTATTTACTCAATGAAACCTGCAGATGTTAGTATTAATTTGGTGCTCTTTACCACAGCAAATGGAAAATGAATGCAGAAAAAAACATTAAATTACAACTCAAAACCACTTCTATTTTGTTTTTTCCATCACCCTTTGTGTTGGCTATGCTACTCACAGACTTATTGCCATAGCAACTGACAACAACACCACTGTATGTATTAGGATTCAACACAAAAAAAACCCACAAATATTTCCCACACAAAGAACAGAACATTCAGTTTGTTACAGTTTTATGATTTTAGGCCAGACGTTTATTTTGCAATTATTATTAAGTGATCACTGTGGCAGATTAGTTAGCACTGCTATTGGCTAATATAATGTTAGCTCATTTAAACATCTGATGTATTGATGATTTGTCAGAGGTGGTGTGTGTGTCGCATTTTTTTATTTGGTAACTAAACCAAAAACCTTTTCCTGACCTTGTTATCTTGTAGTCTTAGTGTTGACAATTGGTACCAAAACACTGCATCCCTTTTTGTTTTTATAAATCACATTTAAGATTTTGCGCACTGTATTGACAATCTGAGAGCTAAAACTAATGGCAGTCATCGTCAGTCAGCCAGCAGGGAGCTGGGTCAGGGCCCATCACTCATGCCTTGCTGCAACATGTCCATAGCTAGAATGTTCCTCAACACAGACATTAATTATCACAGAGAAATTGCACAAATATAGACGTTCCTATTTGGTATCCTTAACAGCATTTTTGTTTAATAAGAATAGGAAGTTGATCAGGAGGCAGATTGGCATGAAGCACTGATTGGATGGGAGAAAAATCAATGGAAGTGCTAATGTTAGAGTCCAGTGCAAGACTAAGTGCTCTTCACTGTTTCTTTGTGTTCCTGTGAAATGTCTGACACCCTCCTGCTGGTTTCCATGTCACAGGAACTTTATTCAATGTTCTTGTTTCTGTTCCAGGCAGCACCACCAAGGGGATCTATGAAATCGCTGGCTAAGCCAGAGGTAGAGGAGGTGAGAGAAAAATGCTGAGCACACAGTTTCTTTCTGACAGACTCTGGCTGATTTCAGAAAAATCCCAATTCAGATGTTTTAGTCAGTAACACCAGTCATTTCTGATGCTTTTCTTTTTCTTTTTTTTTATGCTGGAGTTTTATAATGTTGTAAAATTTAAAACGTTTAAAATTTGAGCAGTTACGCTTTGTCATTGTCTTCACAAAAGAGATTCACAGTAAAATCATTATTTCTTGGAGCTACAATTACTCGCTTTTGCCAAAGTATTCGGCCCAGACTATTTTTTCCTTCGCATTTTTATATGAGAATGAAGTTGCAAATTTATGACGACTCAACACCAAAGTGCTTTGAAATGAGCAACACCGAGCGTCGTGTCAATTTACTGTTGGTATCGGTTTTTCAGATGAGAAAATAATTAATCTTTTAACACATCAGCATCATATTATGAGCTGCAAAGGACTCTATTGAAGCATTTTTTTCCCATTAAAACAACTTTTCCTCATATTATGACTTTCTTCCAGGAACTTCCAGCACTAGAACTGTCCTCGTAACATGACCCTTGCAATATTACAACTTTATTTTTGTATTTAAATAAAATACTCCTAGTCTCACCTTAAAACTTTGTTATACTTGCTTTACTAAGCCGCCATTTTTCGATTACAAACTTCTCCACGTCTCCTCTGTAAACCAAGAAATCTCCTTGAAATTAAGATATTTGACTTTTTGTTGCTATATGTTACATCATATTCATTTGATCTCCAGTAGAAATTCAAATCATTATCCTTAAAATATAAATGAAACACCTATTTGAAAACACCCTACATAATCCTCCAGAAGGAAGATGTTTGAAAATATGATTTTTTTTTTCTCTGTGTTTTCACTCAATGCAATCAAAACCCAAATGACAGGAAGTTAGTTATACACTGATCCTTTCTGACATGAGTCTCTTACCTCTGGCAGATTCCTCTGCCTCAGATATCTTCTCTTCTGTCCCAGAGATGATCTGTCTAGATATGAAGATATTTATATCTAAACTTTATATACATTCTCCAGAGCAGCGTTACTTTTTCATTGTGACAAAACCGATGTTTGTGAATATGAGGCCATGCCTCCTGGGTCATACATTTGATTCCAAATGACTCTTAACTGAGAAGTTTCGTGAGTAAATGTCCTGGAGGAACTGTTATTTCTCACAATTAAAAAAAACAACTCAACATCACATTTAATAGGAAGCTCCCAATGGCTGTTTCTGACCAAGAGGAGGAAGAGGAACATATTTGTTTTATGTTATGCTGTCACAATATAGTTAGAATTTTAATAAGTATGTTATTTATTTATTTATGTTGTGATGACTTCCTGAAGTTGAAGTTTTAGAAAGAGCAGGAGTTTCTTAAAGAGACAGAGACCCAGTTTCCAGGTGTTCTGTAACAAAGTCAAATTTTCTTTGTCATGTTTCATATTTATAGTGCATTTATAACAATTGAAAGTAACTTAATTACTTAATTGTGTTATAAAATGGCACTATTGTGGCTGGAAAATACATAATGCTGCCCCTTCTTGAGTAAAAATAAATTAGAGTTAAACAGGAAAGTTGATTTTAAATTACTGGTGAGGAAAAACAAGCTATCATAAAAGCAGATGTGATGTTCAGGGTAGTTTTAATGAGTAAGTAATACAATAAACGACTTAATAGTTTTTGTCAAGAAAAGTTTCAAAACTGCATAATTTTGTCTTAAGTTGAGCAATTTGTCTTCAGTTGCTTTTACCTTTAAGTCAGTTTTTGGTTTGTTATGCTGACACATTTTCTGCCTTTTTTTCTTTTGTCAGAAACTGCCGAGGAAACCGCCTCCACTAGGTAAAGAACATTTTAAACTCTATTTTATTAAAAGTTCTTCCTTGTATGTCTGATTGGGAAGGCTAACTGTCGTTTCTCACAAGTCAAAGTCAGGTCAAAAAGCTAAGAACATTTACGCAGGGTGCTTCAGGCTTCTCGTTCAATCTGAGGATTCTTTTGATGTACTTGGTTTTGACATCTGTAATTCCACCGGGGTATCTTGGCCGTTCTCTTGACAACTTCCAAAAACCATTTCTGGGAGGCATCAGAAAACAGTTTGTCAAAGAGCTCTAACCGTCTTGTTTTAGCATGGATAAGCAGATGCTGCACTACTGGCTTTCCCTCCAGGGCCGGAGGTTTTAACCAGGTCTGTAAGCCTGCTGTCGCATCGAGTTAGGACCATCCTCCAGGACCTCCACTTAAATGCCATGGGATTGTTAGTATGAATGTGAAACCTCGCTTCCATCATCAAGACAGCTGTGACAGCTCTGTGCTCCCGGTACTAACCAGATAGTTATTTTTCCAGAGATGGTCTCATAACTTTACTGTCAGAGGCATCGCATCCTCACTATAATGTAATGTCACAATACATGAAGGTTTCTCAAACTTTTCCGTACCGTTTTTTCTATTTTAAACTGATCCGAAACACACTGCACATCTACAAGTTAATGTTGTCAAAGTCAAACTAGCATATCTGAACTACTTCTCTGTTCCTCGCTATCTATTTTTAATCAAAATGTTTTCCTGACCTTATTTAGTAGTCTTAGTGTTGACACTTAGTAGCAAAGCACTGTGTCCCTTTTTCTTTTGTAAATTAAGATTTAGCACATTATGCTGATAATAGATAAAACCACTGGTAGTCATTGTTGGCAAGCTTCCTTTTTGTCCTCCTGCAGGCACATGGGTGATGTCATGCAGTAAAGGGTCTATAGTTTTTGTTTTACTATATTTCTTATTTTTAGGAAATTGTATAAATGTATATAGTGAATGTTGTGTAAAACACAGCCACAAGCCTCTTACCAATCACAGAACACATCACACAGAGCGCTGCCAAAATAATTAGACTCAAGCCCTGAGTCAAAAAGACAATTTTTGTTAAAATGTTTACGCTTTTTTCAAGATTAAAAAAAAAAAAAAAAGGAGGCTGGTAAATATGTATGATTTTAGGATTTTGTTGGACAATATCACTTTATGGTAATGTCTGACATGTTTTCTCAAACTGGGGAGGAGAACAAAATTATACGATTTTCATCACCTGTTGACGTCTACAATGAAAGCCGATTAACTCTTTGGATGAGTCATGTGGGAACCGTTAGTGTGATGCGAAGGAGGCCTGATGCGGATTCACCTTTCGGAAAATACATATAATAAACCTTTAAAAAGTTTTATTTCAAAACTAAAAACTTAACCTATAACATTTCGACATCACTATTGAACAAGATCTAAGCTTCCAGAGTGGGAATTTGACTCAAAAGTGCAACCTATAATAGTTTTGTATGCCAAGGTTCTAATTTTAGATGGTTGTCCTTTACTGTAAAACAGACTTACCACCTCCTGCACTTAGCAGCATTCTTGCATGCATTGAGGTTTTCCTGTTTGGCTCGTCAGTGTCGCATCATTTCATTCACAGCCTAGCTGCACATGCACTGTGTTCCAGTTGCTGTGGGGAACAGAGAAAACAATTTCTGCGCACAAACTTCCTGTGTATTCAATGTCTTTCTGACAAAACAGCTGAGCAGATTCAAATGAACACCGGTCTCATTGGGTGGTTTCTAATGCGAATCGCCTGCGGTTGTGTGTGTGCCCCCCTCACTGTCTGTCAAGCGTTTGAGTTTCATCGTACGCCCAGGTTACTCTCTGGATCATGTTTCGTTTTTCAGCCTCCAAGCCGGAGCCCCCCGCCGTGGAGAGGAAGTCCATCAACTTCAGACCAGATGAGCGAGGTACAGCTGGGCTCCCGGTTCCCCCTGTCTTCTCTCATCCTTCTATCTCTTTACAGCAGCTGACATTTCTGTCTGCATTCAGCTCTGCGGGCTGTAAACAAACTTCACTTTCATGTGCTTTCACTTGAAACTGGTGCTTTAGTGATGAGTCTATATTTTTCCGAACTTTAACAATCTTATTGAAAAACATGGAGGCGATTTTTCTCTTTGCTGCTAACTGCAAACCGAACCTGTTTGCTAACATTAATTTTAAAATAAGGTTTTCAGTTGATTCAATCGATAATATTATAAGTGAAATGTAGAGTTAGGTTTATCTTTTCTGTTTCCTTTGTCAGTTTGTTCATCTTGCATATTTAAAATTGTCTAATTTAGAAAGGTTTTAAAATTTCTTAAATTTACTAAAGTCAAAATACTATGGTTCTATGATAGTTATACACAAAGTTGAGACAAGAGTGTATCTTGATCTAATTCTTTAAAAAGAAACAGAAAACCAATACCTGTCACAGTTGTAATGACACACAAAAAAAAATCACAATATTATAAAATAGAACTATATTTGTCAAACTATAATGCTACCTGGTACCTCTAGGTGAGATATGACAATTTCAAAAGGTTATTTTTGATTTAATAAAAAAAACAAAAACATTTTTATATGCTAAACATGTCATCAAACATCAGCTGCTTTGGATAATATCTTCAAATGTTACAGGGGAACGAAATGGAACATTCGTTTGCGGATATCACATGGAATAGACATTCAAATGTAAATTCTCAAAATCTCTCCTTTTGTATCATGTATTTTAAATATTGCTCTTTTAGAATAAGCAATAAAAAATCATTTAAAGAATAAAGACAATTGTTCATATCCTCAGTTCAAAACAGAGGAGTTTTCAAGAATAATCTAGATTATTTGCTGTGTGTGCTACTTTGTTTTGTTTGTCTGACTTTAATTGGCAAAAAGACATCTGTCATTTGCTGTATATTCCATCTTTTCTTCCTTTGGGTCACTCATTGTTTGCCCTCTTTTTTTCCCTTTCATGTCTTATTTGTTTCCTGAAGAAAGAAGCTACAACTGCACAAACATTAGCCATTAGCATGTCCACCTGCTACTGTACTATCTGAGTCAACTTAACTATGCATGACTACATTCCAGCCTCATGATTGGTCCAGGGCAACTTTAGGTGCGCTATCATAAAGACAGATTTGTCTTTTATCGTAGGGTAGGAAAAATTCTTGTAGCCGTTCTCAGCTGCCCTGTTACATCCAGAAAACGATGGTCAACCCCAGCACTTTCACTGCCAGTTCAACTAAAAGAATAAAAAAAAAAACAACCTTTGCACTGGTAGAACGATTCCTCCATCCTGACAGAGTCAGCATTTTTACTCCTCAGCTTTTAAAAACTTGGAAAACAGAATTGATGATTCTGTATGCCTTAAAGGACATTTTAAATTAGGTCATATTTCTCTTTTGCTACAGTTTCACTTTTCTATTTATAAGTCAAGCATCACTTTTTATCTGCTAGACATGTCTCACACTTTTGGTGCAGTGTTGAGGACCGAGTATCTCTGACGGAAGACGAGAAATGCGTCTTCTGACAGAGAAGACGAGAGATCAATATTAACAACAATTCAAAATAATCTTGGTTTTTGTCCAATCATTTCATTAATATATCTGAAATTATAAAAATTTCTTTCCCCATTTTTTGAACTTCATCTACCAAGATGAATCAAAAATACGTTTATTAATCATCTCTAGTGATCAGACTTTGGGTTTCTATTATCACATTTCGTTCAGCGTTCACTTTTAGCTTGTTCATTTAAGTCCTCTGGCTACATTTATTGTACTTCTCTTTCCTTAACTGCAGTGTTGGGGTGGTGAAGCACTACATCTAAAACAGGTTAGATTTTAGTTCAAATACAGGAAATATGCTGTCAAACTCAGTTAGTTTTTATGACAATCAGCCCTCATCACATGCAGAGTCCCCCATGGACACATTATTGGCTCTCTACAGTTTTTTTTTACTGTTTACTCATGTTAGATTCAGTTCTTTAAAAATAACACAAACGCAGTTTATCAATGTGGTTGTCAGTGGGTGTAATAGTACACATAAGTCACAGCTCAGCATATACAAAGCCATAAAAAGTAACACCCCCACCCCCTCATCTTAATGCATTTTTCTGTTCCTGCATCTTTCTCACACTTAGATGTTCCACATCAACAAACAAATGTAAAGCTACCTCTACTTTGGGCCAAGATTAGTTTTGGTTTGGTACAACAGCAAATGTAAAATAGCTTTTGAATTTTCCAGAATAAGAAAGGTGTTAGTGAAGACACTACAGTAGCAGATGGAGATTTTTTTTTCTTTTTTTACTTGTAAAGTCACTTGGAAGTTTGAAAAGCATTTCCATCCAGTTTGAGCTGAACAGTGCACTATAGGCCATTTGTCTGGAAAAAAAAAAATCTAAATCTTCGTCATCATAACACGTCAAAATACCAAATTTAAAAAAGATGTCTCTATTTCTATGTCTCTATTTCTTTCTCTCTTTATCTTTCTCAGTCTCTGTACCTCTATTTGTCTCTATTTCTCTCTCACCATCTCTTTCTTTTTTTCTATCTCTATTGTTCTATTGCTTTCTTTTTATCTCTGTCAATTTATTTCTGTCTCTATTTCTATTTTGTTGTCTTTTTTGTATATCTCATCTTTTTCTGTCTTACTCTCATCTCTGAACGTTCAGTCCTTCCAGGAGTCTGCGTCGCACTTCTCTGAGCTCATCTTGAATAATCCCACAAGGCTTGTTTAAAATGGGAGAGCAGCAGATTAGCAGCTGTGTCATTGGAAAAAAGCAATGATGGCTCCTCCTCTCGGTTCACCTGAACGTCACCGGTGGTCCCTGACTTTCTGCTTATATTGGAATTGGTCCCCAGAGTTGCTGAGTTAAGCTTCTGCAGGTTTTCTTTTACTGCTTTTGCACAGAGTAGTTTATAAACAACAGTCTGAAAATAGAAAAAACAATTCAAGCAAAGGATTCAGTTCTTTTTTTATATAAAAGGTTCACTGAAAGTTGAGCGTCTGATAAACATCTGCAGATTCCCTTGTTATCCATCCATTTAGCTCTTCATACATAAGGCTGTGTCATATGGTTTTTCATGCTTCTCTTAAATTGCTGTAAAATTAGAGACAGAAAGGTGAAACACAGTTCAGATTTTTTTTCCCTTCCACTGTGTCTGTGTTTCAGGTGACAAGCACACTCCAGAGCCGAAACTCTATAAACCTCCTGCACCAAACCCACCCAAGAAGCCGGTCCCCATTCCACCCAAGAAGCCAGAAAAGCCCATCGGTCCCTCATTAAGTATGAAGTAAGTACAGTTTTTGTGTTCCCTTGTTTATATATTTGATCTGAAAATCTCCCACTGACCTCTGTGAGGTTGAGCTGCAATATGACAACAGGTTCCTGTGTTATAATCTCCCTAAAGCCACTCTTGGAAATGAAAGGTAAAGCTTTGACTAATCTAACCTCTTCAGGTTTTTTACGAGAGCCACTAACGGCGGAATTTTATGGTTGCTGGTTCTCCATTTGCGTCATCTTATTGGGCAAAGGGAAGAATGTTTTAGGAATATTAAAGATGGGAATATACAAATACATTGACAGTAGTTATGTTTCCATTATTCTTGGAAACATAACTAGCCATATAATTGTGCAATTTGACATTTCGAAACTACATTTGCTTAGTGGAAACATGGCAATTTAGAAAAGAAGAAATTCTAGTTAACTCTTCTGTGGGCTGAAGCCCACAGAAGAGCCTATGCTGTTGTCCACTTCCTGCTTTTGGAGCCGTCTCTGGTCCTCTTGATGTTCACGTATGCATTTGACCTGAGCGAAGGTCTTCTTCAACCAAGGAAAAGTGGGAATTAAAGAAACTGAGACAGTTAGAAAATACATCAGTGTTTGATATATTTTTCATTGGATTTCCAGCGAAATTAAGTTGCTTTCCATATTACTTTACAGACTCTCCTCTCAAAAGCAGTTGTTGATTTATAACCTTGAGATCAAAAGGGCCTTTTTGTCTGTGCAAACACGCAGCCCAGTCACTGTAGCCCTGAACCCCACAGAGATGAGCCTCATAACAAGTCAGCTCATGTCAAACATCGTGCTTCTGGATCTGCCTCAAGGCTTTGCTTTATTTTCATTTTCCTTCTTCTAATTCCAGACAAGCCGTCACATCAGTGCAACGTCCATTCAAAGCTCTGCTAGGATTACTTCAATCAAAGTTTATTTTCGCTGCTTCAGTGGCATTGAAAGTAGATTGATGTAAAAAAAGACAACAAAATCAAACGAAACATGTCAAGTTCTTCTCTGAAACCCAGCCTGGACACACAGTAGTGATACGCCAGGGACCTTCTAGGCCTCCTGCAAGAACCGTACATGCTAACTGCAACATAAACACTTTTTCTTTCCCATGGTGCAGCACCAAAAACACAAGGGAGATAAAGTAACCTACAGGTCCATTAATAATCATACTAAGCAGCGATGTGCAGTAGGTGCTTGTTTTTGAAGAAGTAACTTTTGTGAAGAAATCCTGGGTGAGTTTTGACAACAAGCCAAAAAAGTGTGTCCTTTTGTGAAGAAGTAATCATATTATCACCAATTAGATTTAGGATTTAAACTAATTTCAAGATTGTGTATGGTTGTCCTCAAAGATAAAGGTCTAAGCACAAGGCCTGGATGACATGGCTGAAACATTTATCACGATACAAGTCTTTTTTATCAGTCAATATCAATAATTATTGATTAGTTTTTAGTTTAAATATCTGAAATAGTTTTCACTCTATGGTGTTTTTGTTTTAAGCTGTCATGAGGCATATACTCAACATGTTGTTGCTAAGCTACCAAAGAGTGAGTGAGTTGATGCCACCAACCTTACTTGGCTAGCAATGACAGGTTGAACAGCTAAAGTCTCCCAGAATGCTATGTGGTTCTGGATCAAACTTCAGTGAATATTCTATGTTTTATTAAATGTATTTTCTATTGAAATTGAACACATATCTATCGCAACACATTATTGATTCATAGTCCAGCCCTACTAAACACAATGTATATTAAACAAAAATAAAAATGAGAAGTAAATTATTTAATCACTAATCATATTTGATCAACAATGTACAGTCCAGTGGAAAATCACTTGTTGAAAGAGGTATAGATTCTTCTTCAGATCTGCACAAAGTGAACATTATTATTTTTCTTCCAGCCACAGGAGAATCTGAGGAGTAAAATATTTTCACTCGCTTTGATCCTGTGATCAAAGCGATCAGTGGATCAAACCGATTCCAAATTTGTTTGGACATTTATTTATATAGTAATCTTGGACATCTAAATTCCTTGGTATTTTAAGCTTAGCGGCCCAAAAAGCTATCACAAAGTAATGGCTAAAGCATAAATTCTGGATCCCTGAAATCAGATCATAATGTTGTCTACTTAGGATGGAAAAAATAACATTTTCATCAAGATTGCACCTCACAAAATTTGAAAAAGTTAAATTGGAAAAATATATATATTTAAAATGTCCAGCATTTGTGTACTAGTTATGTTGTAATTTGAGTTAGTTATTTACATGGAAAGTGTGTCCACCACTCTTCAGTTTTTGCCTGTCATTTTATGTTGATTTATGTTCAGGTAAGATAAAGAAATACCATCTAAAAGATCTGCATATTTTTCCCTGTGGGAATGTAGTGAAAATTGTTCCATCTGACTGTAAGATAAACATGGACTTGACATATAATCAGATTTTAATAAGTTTTCCTGAGTTTTGACATTTTGCCTTCTATCAATGTGCTTATCTGTTTTTGGTATCTGCTTGCTTCTAGTTTTTGTGGTTGTCTGGAAAGAACTGTAGAACCTTGTTTATATTTTATGCATGAACCGTGTGTTATTGTAGTGTAATACCTTTACAAGTGACAACACACAGTACCAAGACTGAAAATGTCTGTTATAAAAAATACCAGTATTTTTGACACTTCAGCGGAATTACATTTTCGTGTATTTTCATTTAACTTACTTTGACCTCCGGTTGTTTCTTTTTGCCTGCAGGCACAACGGAGAGGTGCCTTCTATGCGACCAAAGTTGGATCTAGAGCCACCTTCTATACGACCAAAGTTGGATTTAGAACCAGTATTGCCAACTAAACCCAAAACGCAGCCTGGAGAAAAGGGGGACAAGCCTGCTGATGCAGGTATGTACGCAACCCATCACCCCAACAATCCAAATCCTCAGGGATTTATTGTTCTGAAGCACACGGTAAGCTGCGTGCTTTCTAGTAAACCTTTAGATTAAAAAAAAATCCTTGTTGTTGCTGTTTCTTCTACACAGTTTAACTGTCAAGAGTTTAAGAATAAGTAACAACAGTTTATCAGCGGGAAACAGGTGAACACTGTGGATGTAGGTAAATGTACCATTATTACTGTTTAGCTGAAAAGATGGTGGCATAAACAGTCTGGTCAAAATTAAACTGACATCACACGATGTTGCTGCTCTCATGATTAAGGTATGATAATTGTGGTAGAAAAAAAACGAAAAATGTAGAAAAATTGGCCTATAAAAGAATTTAATCAAAATAATATAGTTTGCAGTGAAACCATTGTGGAGGCCTATTGTAATCATAATGTTTCTTATTATTCTTCCAGTAAATAATTGGCTTTTTGTAGGCCTACAAAAACTCACAGAACTTGTGGATGCATCAGACTTGGGTGAAGATTACATATTTTAAGAGAGTTAGAAAAAATTCAACAAACATCTCAACAGAACCCCCAGGCAACTTATCCTTCCACATTGCCCAAGGCCTACAGAAAACCCTCTGATACTCATGATATGCACTAAAATGGAATTCAGCCATCTTGAATTGAAGTTCTAATTTTGACCCCGTTTTGCCCATTGATGGCCGGCGCATTTGATCAAACTCCTGAGTTTTAAAGTGTGACTAGACGTCAGAATTTGACATCTTTTCTTGAAACACAAAAATCTAATATCTCGTACACAAAAACTCAAATATCACTAAAGTTAAAGTGCAGACCCCGAGGAGCAATAAAATTAAAGGAATTAAAGTTGTTTAACGACAAAAGATCCCAAGAAAAGAACGAGTAAGTAACACAGACAGCAGCTGTGGGAATGGGAGCAGACTGCACTGAAGAATAAATAGATTTGAGAGCGATGTTTTAGAAGCAGGAACGTGTAGTGACAAACAGGGACCTGTGGGAACAGAACGTAAGACTGAAAGGTCGCAGCTGGAAAACATCACAGATGACTGAATAAAACTGACCTGAAGGCCTGTCGGTCCTCAGAGATCTCCTGACCAGCCGTCTGTGAAGGTGCTAAAAGTCGCCGCAGCTCCGAACAAACCAGTCACACTGTGACACTAAACATGAAAACTCCATCATTCCTGCAATTACAGCCAGAGCTCTCCATCTGCAGCCGATTACTGCAGAGTAGGTGCAAAGTGCTGCTACAGAGCAAAATGCTTTTCATTGTTTTATTGGATGAACTTAAACAGAGTTCTTGTCCTGCTGATGAACATGTGAAGAAAAGAGTATTAAATGTCTTATTTAAATGGATTTTCTATCCATTTATTGCACAAGAAAATAAAACATTTCTGTTATTAACGGTCTCTGATAGCTTTCCAAACACATTCAAATGCTCTGTCTGAAGGCTATTCATTTTTAATTTGCAGTAAGACTTTTTAATACGAAAGATTTGCATCGAGCGTTGAAGGTTTGTTGACTTTTACTTTGTAGTAATGAAAAAAATGCTGGTGGAAACAAATTAATCAGTGATGGATGAAAGCAATTCTGAGGTGCTTCAAAAGGAAAATTAAAGCTCCGTAATAATTTCACACTGTGAACCACTCCAGTCCAAATACATCCTGATGGTTTATACGTACATAATTCAAACACAGGCCTCTTATTATCCTTTTATTCTAGTATTTTTTGAGGGCTTGTACTTTTGCAGCATTAAATATTTCATCCGAATCATACATTTTCAATGGAACGAGCAGTAGCATGTTGAAGTTGCGGCCTCTACCTTTGAGGGAAAGATTTTCATTATCCAGGAAAGTAGAGAAAATGCATGTCTAAATAAATACCTGTGCAGGTGTTGTTAGGTATGAAGAGTGTGTGCATGGTATTCATTCATGTTGTTAGAAATCGTGGTTCTCTGTTCAAAGTAAGAAGCAGTAAACGTGACTTGACCACATAAAACTGATCCCCTCTGATATGTTGTTCTTTTCATTTCCTCTGCTACATCTTTTTTTCAATTATTTTTTTCAGAAGATCTGATCAGTTTTGATGACTTGTCGTCTGCGTCGGAGAAGCTCTCCCACCTGACCACTTCCAGACCAAAGGTCACTGGCAGGAGGCTCCCTGGACAGTTTGCCGGAGGACAGTCGGTGAGAAACTCCGACGTAACCATTCAGACACTTTGATCAAACAGCTCAAATGGAAAATGAAGTAGTGACTTTTTACACACAAGTTGAAAATCACTTTGAAAGAAAGTGATTTTGTAACATTTGAACAAGAACACAGAAACTGTAATGCTTGTAAAAATGCTTTATATCATCAGCACCAATTTTAATGTCTTTATGTTGGAATTTTGTTTGACGGATAAACCTGAAAGTTTAAAACTAAATCCAATTGAGAATGTGTGATCAAACTTTGATGCTTTACATTTAGCCTAATGTCATACAAACATTGCAAACATTTTACTTTCTAGGTGTGTAAACTTCGCCAAGTCAGTTTTACTTTCCATATTTTCCTTTCTAAATGATAAACACTATTTTGTCATCCTTCCACTTCACCATTCTGCCCAATTTGTGTTGATCTATCATAATTTGTCATTTCTCATCATTATCTCCCCCTGAAATCAACTTCAAACACAGGTCAAATCCCCCTTTGCAATCGATCTGTGTCATAATTGGCTCAATATTTTAGTGGAATGGACAGAGAGTGAAGCCCAGAAATAATAAAGTAGAAACATCCTTAATAATGGATGATCTGACAGTAAGTTTCTGGCTCACCCCGGTGACCCGAAATCAACAGTAAGCAGTGTTTTGAAGAAGCCGACAAGTTATAGATGAGACTTATTAACATTTGAGTCTGATCTGGGCTCAAAGAACACAGAGATTACTGTTTATTTCTATCTTTACATTAATCTCACATGAATACTAATGTAGCCTCAAAGAGGATCTCTGTATTTCTTCTTTTTTTATGCAGCAAGGTAAGAAATATAGTCAGTAGTTGGAGCCGATTATCAGCCTTTTAAAAGTGACCCGAATTCAGTCTTGGTTGGCTTTAGGAAATCTCCCTGCTAAAATGTAGTTTATTTCAGTTTCACTTTTCAAGAAAGAAAAAAAAAAACACATTAGTATCATTTGATATTTGAATAAATGTCTACTTGCAGCCTACAAAGGAAGTGAGTGCTGAGAAAGTCTTCAAGGTCGATGAGGAGGAAAGTGCCAAACCCAAGCCAACAGAACACAAAAAGGTAACTTGTTACGTTTAATCAATCATGATAAGTCGATAATTGGAATAATCATTAACTATCAATTAATCCCTAACTGGAGTGTACAGGCTCAAAAAAGGACCATTTGATGACAGAACAAACATATGTACATTTTGAATTCATAAGGAAAAACTCTTCTATCGAACACATCACCATCAGATATGGGGATGCAGATAAGTAATCAGCAGAATAACCAATTAATAGAATAATTATTAGTTGCAGCCCCTCTGTGAAAATAACCTTTTATGTCCTGAATAATAAAATTGGCTCCTTGTGCATTAATTTTGCTCATAAAAAGCATTTTAATGGATGCAGTTCAACACATTTTCATAAATTATTCTAAGATGAATTACCATTATTGTACAAAACAATAATGGCATAAAATGCTCATTTTGTCATATTGTTGCATCTTTACTATCCATATAGATTTATATAGCCTACTCCACTAAACAATTAATCAATCAAGATTTTTACAACTAATTGCACTGACTGAACAAATGAAAGTTGTGTTGTTGTTACTTGTTTGACTAAGCTAGTGAAGATACTGGTTTATTTTAATTTGGTGTACTGGTGTAGAGTTATCAAATAAATGTGTAATTCAGCACATTTATGTTTGTTTGTTTTTTTTTAAATAAATGCTTTAAGTCAATTCAGTGACGTTTTGAATCGGTACAGTCTGATACTACACCTCAGATATCTGTATCTGCGTCGGAAGTGGAAAAAATAGACCCTAATTGTGACAGGCCTAGAAGCACCTAAGTGTTTTTGGTGGAAAAAAAATTAAGGCGACCAGCCGTGCTAGAAATATATTTTACACAAGTGAAACCAGAAATTCCTCTCCATGCAGCACAAACCTGACATTGTGAGCTTAATACAAGTGTCTACAGTAAAGTATTTTGCTCCTGATGTTTTTCCATCCACGGCCTTCTAACCAGTCTTCACCACTCCACCAGCTCGGTTTCGCTGAACCCAAGCCGGGCCCTGCTGCCATTGCAACCTTGGACACCAGCATCTCCCAGAACAGCAGAGCCCATCCGGAGCTGGCGGAGCAGAGCGCCCAGCAGGATGAGCTGAAAAGCCAAATAAAAGACCTGCTGCTGTCTGTGGAGCTCCTCAAAGCCCAGCAAATGTAAGACAGCAAGTGTCAATAAGAACGTGAAGCAGGTTTCAGTCATTCTATTGATATTCTTCATCCTCAGCAGTCTGAGCTGTTTGAAACGCCGTCAGCAGCAGAAAGTTTGCTGACCCGTGGCGGTGTGCGTCTCTTTCCAGGAAAGAGATCACGGAGCTGCGGCGAGACCTGGATGAGGAGCGAGTGAAACGCGTGGCCCTGCAGGTAGCACCGCCCAGACACACGCTGAGCTGTCTGTGTTCATTAGGTCGCCACTTTCAACAAATATTGATGCTTTGAAAATCCCAATACAACACATCAAAGTTTGAATTACTATTGAGGCAAAGTTCAAGAGGTAAGAATGTGTTGCTGGGCTCTAAGGAGCAACCTTTTTGAGTTTTCCCTCACCATAAGACATACCTGGAGTGTTGCCTTGATTTTATTGTTTTTCATGCTTGTTTGAGAAGTCCCTTAATCTCCGTGGCAACCATTCAACAAAATTTGGTCTTAATTTATAAACATAGCTTCCAAAACACACATTTCTATAGTTTGCATAACTTTATGAATCTGAACTCAGTTAAATAATTCAGTCTCCACTTTAGCAATCATCTCTAGTAGATTTGTTTAAAGGCCTAGGGCTGGACACAATGTATCACGATAGACAAGTGATCATTATCAATAAATAGTATAACTGATAGAATATTCAGCATTCATGATATAAAATATTCATTGAACTCTGAGCTGGAACCCATTGCATTCTGGGGGAAGAAGAAAGGCTTTGCATTTTTTTGTGATTTTTGGGCATGGAAAAAACAGGAAGAAAAACAAATAACTAAATAAACCAAGCCAAAGTAAAACAACAATCAACAAAGAGAGCAATGTCAACATAACATGTCCAAAAGGGAGTAAGAAGAAATAAAGGCTTATTTAATCCCCCACTGTGCCTCATCAATGCTTTAAAATAAAACAATGGCTTTGAATAAAAACTGTGGATAAAAGAGGAAAGATTACACCACCAGTTTGGCAGTATTTCAAATATGTAAAACAAAAAAACTAATCCATAATTATCTATCGAATGATAAATCATGTTTATATCAGGATTTTATATAATAGTTTGCTATGTATTGAAGGACTTTGAAGTGAAATTTCTGATCGAAATTTCAGTTTCTCCTCATTTCCTCCAAAAACCCTACTAGAACATATATTGAGAAAACAATTCTTGAGTTCCTCTAAGCAATAGTCTGTGGATCACAGGCACAGCACACTGCACCATGTCAGAGATGTTCGGCTTCTTCTCACCGCAAATAGAGGCTTCTGCAACAAAAAAAAAAAAAGAGGTTTTCTCGCAGCTTGCCAAAAGTTTAGATCGTTTGAAGGAAACAGCGGTTGCTGAATGTTTGTCACAGCAGCTAATTTTAACAGGGATTTTGGACGTTATTATCTGTGGGAAATCCGAAACCAAAAACGTTCACCAATTTGTCGACACGTTACATGGAGTCTGTCAAATTCTTCCTTTCTACTTGTGGATGTTAAGTGGTGTGGACCTGATTGGCCTACAACACAGAAAAAAAGTCGAACTAATAAGAAAGTAGAAATCCATTTTTTTTATTTTGATAACTAAATAAAATATCCATGAATGTTCTCTTCTTGCTGCTGTATGTTAATTTTTTTAAACCTGATAAAGTGTGGGAAAGAAACCAAGCTCTTCCTAATACACTGCACCTGGTCAAAACAACCAATCAGAGTCAGGGGGAGGGTCTTCATGTCATCAGTCACACCCTCTCCCTTTTCAAACACATCATACAACCTTCACATCAGTAGCTACCTGATGGCGAAGCACCGGAATTGAACCTACGTCCTACTGCTTGTAAGACAGCTGCTCTACCCAATGAGCCACAGTCGCCTGGTTGATGTATCACTCACTGGACTTTCAATGCTGTCCTAATGTTATTATGTGGATGTGGTTTCTAGTATCACAAATACCAGGGTCTATTAAGTTTGTTCCCCAAAGAAGCAGAGAAGTACCTTAATTCAAAGATACATGAACAGCTGCAGACAGTTCAAAGTTCACAGTGTTTCACAGCAGAGATGCTGAAAGCAGAAAAGGACGAGAAATCATTTCTACTCTGAAAAGTCTTAAACCCCTGAATTAAGCAGACATGTTCTAGCTATGTTACAGAAATTAGTCTCCTTTTCAACACCTTCCTTTGACTTCATTTTAAACATCTAAAATGAAAAATAGCTCATTTTTAGTCTTGTTCTCTCAGGAACGACGTCCACTCAGAACAGTGCAACTTCTAATTGAAAAGACTTTAAGGCAGGGAAGCTGTGATTCTTTACTTTCTTTTAATTGGATCCCTATTAGCTGCAGTTCCCTGCATCTTCTCTTCTTGGGGGCCACACATTCAACATAACTAAAAACACAAACCACAAAAAAAAAGACTGCAAACATAAAAGTAACTCCAAAAATAGATGAATCCTAAATAGCAGTTATAGATCAAAACAAACGAGTTACACTGTAATGTAAAACATTATAGAACACGACCTTCGCTTCAACATGCCAAGCAATTCAGTAGAACACAATACATTAAGAAGAATCATTCAGAATCAAACCTGACACTGGTAATTCTGCACATTTAGAGCAACTGTTGAGTTCTTTCAGCAGGGTTTATTCTACAGGCGGAGTCTGTGTGGGCTTCAACAGCCGTACCATTCCCAAAGAGAGAGTCAGAATCCTGAGTTTGATTGTTTTCTTGTCTTCCTGTCAGATCGAGGTAGAGAACCTAAAGAAGACCATCCAGTCAACGTGAAGCGTTGTGTCCCATCAACAGCCAGCCTCAAGCTCAGCTGCCAGTCCGCCGAGGAGGAAGAGGAAGAGGAGGCGGCGATGGACTGGCGGCTGGACGGAAGAAGAGAAGGACAACACCACAAACCACCTTCCTCAGCAATCTTCTAAAACAAACTCTTCCTATATTTGTACAACTTTTTGCACATATCTTTTTTTTTTTTTTTTTTTTCAAGCTAGGTGTAATTAAATGACAGTTGTATGTTTTTTCTCTCTTTTGGATTTTTGTTCATTTGCCAACACAAAAATAGAAAAAAACAAACAAACAAAAAAACGAGGCCTTACTTCAAACTACTGTGCTGGACGGTTCCGCCTCTCCTGCTCTCCGCTCGTCTCGCGGCGACGAGGTTCGCTCTCAGTACTACTGACTGTACAAAGCAGGGGCTGCCTCTCCTCATCTAACCTCCTTTCTCTCATTGTTTTATGCTGCACACATAATTCCATTGTTCTTAAGCAAGATTGCATGAGATGTTTGATTTGAGTTAACATCTTGGGATTCGAATGATTTCTTCCTTCCAACGGCAGCTGCCTCTTTGTGGCTGTGGAGCTTTATGATTTTTTTTTTTTTCTTACGTCTTTTATATGTCTTCTAATATTTCTATCCAGGGTAACACTACTGTGCCTGTTTAAACAACAAAAAAGTATATTAAATGTTTAAAATGGGATCTGGAAGATTTGCAGCATGATTATTGTATATGTATATTTTTAAATCGACAGACTTGTCAAATTCTATATATTGGGCCTTTTCTGTGCTGGTCTCTTCTATTTTTGTCACTCTTTCACTGGGATTGTTCTAATAGCTATAATATATATATAAATATATATGACACAGACATGCAAAAAAAATTTCATGCAAAGCTGGAAAGAATAAAGAAGGTGTGAGAATGTCTTTTCAACATGGCCGCTGCACCGCTCATTTCTTTGATTTTAAGGGAATCATTTGATGTGAATGGATGCTTGTATTCCTGTGGGTGATTTCAGCTGCTGGTGGCTCCTCCCACATTCTACTTTGGTGTGTGGACACTCACCTCTGAAGATGAATCGATTCTAGGAATGACTCTCCCACTTTGTTTCTCTTCCTTTTTAGAAATCAGGAGGCGTGATCAACCTTTTTTTTTTTTTTTAAGTTTTCCTGGAAAACAAACTGTAAAATTAGCAAATTAGGCTTTTTTTCCCCCCACAGCTGATGCAGATTTCTAGGTTTTCTTATTGGTCTCACTTCACACATTTTTCTTTTACCCACAAAAGTTCTAAGACTGTTGGCTATCTAGTGGGATGCTAGTTTCGAATCCAACAAGATTATCTACAGTTGTGTGTCAAAGCAAATATCTAGAAAATCTTAGATCCAGGGGAAAATCTCAGTTTTGGAGCATTTTTGAAAAACAGAGAAACAAAATTAAATTTTTTATGTTTGTTTTGGACCCACTAATTTGAGCTGCCGTTGCCAAATTCTGATGATTTCTGTCAAAAATACAATTTAAGTATTTCTATTGTTTTCATTGTGGTACTGGTGAATAGGAATCATTTTACAAAATAAACCTAACATAAAAATTGAAATCATTGCCTGATTCCCTGGATAAGAGTCTGACAAGTGACTGAAAATATACCAAAATATCCCCACACACAAATCAAGAAAAATATCTTGTGGCTTTCAGTTCAAGGAGAAGATTACCCACAACCTCTACATTAATGCAGCCTGTCAATACAGTCATAATGTAACCCATAGAATATTTTTGTGGCAGAAATGTTTCCAGAGACAGGGACCTTTTTTCAGCTAGCTGGCCAGCAGTGGTGAAAAGTTTACTGTCTTGAGTCAACTCAAGACAGTAAACCTCTTCATAAGGCATGTCCCTGTCTTCAAGACGCAAACAAAATTCCAGTTGCCTATGAATTACTTCATAATCCTCCACTGCTGTTCAGACTAACATGATGGCAAACACTTGGAAAAACTTTTTCTTTTAGTAAAATTTGCGAGTCCAAATCCAGGAATAGAAAATCCAGAACCACATACTGCGATTTTGAGTTATTTTGCACCAAATACTTATGATGTGATTTTTAATCATTATCATTTTCAAGTAAAATGTTTCTTCTTGTGAAATTTCACAGCCGTCTTAAAGTGTTACTCAGTCTTGAATTCAAAATTCTGGTCTCCAGAGTGAAATCTGACCCCACATAGTTCAGCCATGCAATGAAAAAATCCCTGCCAGTAAACATTTTTTTGTGTGTGCAACGCAACTGGAAAAAGAATAACAGTACGACTTGGAAACGACAAGCTGTGATTTTTGGGGTGAATTATTCTGCAGCTCGAATTTATTGCTGGAACAGAAAACTGACTTCCACTTGTTATACATTCCACTGATTGACACAAGGAAAATAAGCAATCTGCACCTTCTATTGTCATGACCCAGCAAACTCTGTTTACAGAAGTTGTATCTTTGCATGAGCTCAGATTCTTTGCAGAAATGAATAAATATTATCTCTATTTCCCGTCCGGACTCCTCTTGATTTTGTTAGGTTGCATGTCACGATTTCACAGACTTTCGTCCTCCAGGTATTTTCATGCACAACATTTCATTTGAAATAATTGAGTGAAAAGTATGGACATTAAACACTGGGAGGAAGTTTCTGAGAAAATGCATTAAACTATGTGTTTCAGCATTTATTGCATTTCACCTGCTGCCTGGGATGGAGGTTATTTTAACCGTCTTGAAACCGTTGCAATTTCCAGGAAGTGTTTTCATCTTGAATGCATCAATATGATACGTAAAAGTAAATCTGGACGTGGGTCTGATTTTCAAAGGAAAAATTTTTATGAAGATGGACTGATAACCTAATGCACCATAGAACACTGTCAAAACCATTTTAAAACAATTGGTCTTACGTGAAATATAAATTCTTGTCAGGCCAGAAAAGAATCTTGTAAACAGTCTGTCGAGGGCAGGGCAGAATGAAATTTGCCAGGCAAGGTTAAAGAAGGACTATTCACAACACGGAACTTGCTCTAAGGTCAAGTGGAGTGCTTGAATGACAACCACCAATGGCAGAAGACACATTTCAAGAACTAGTGAGTCAAAACAACCCATTAAGAAGACTTGTAAGTCACATTAAAAACAAGTTGATGGATTTGTAGCTACGTTTCATCGAGCACTGCTAAACAGTCACCATCAAGGAAACAAAGTAAATGAACTGTGAAACGCCCAACGTGGGGCTCGAACCCACGACCCTGAGATTAAGAGTCTCATGCTCTACCAACTGAGCTCGCCGGGCTTCACAAAGGCATGTTTTTTTGCACCTGACAATGCAAGCAAAGTTGATTTCCAAGATCGTAATATAGTAGTACGACAAAATAGTACTAATTTTTTTTTTTTTGCTTTAATGGTTGTCAGCATATTGAGAACTCTTAACAATTGAATTTAAACATAACAACAAGTGTTTACACAAGACTGCTTGAGTGACAAACACCTTTGGCAGAGGAGACAATTCAAGAAGTAGCAGTTCCCAACAACCCATTAAGAAGACTTAGAAAGTCACATTGAAAACGCCCAACGTGGGACTTGAAACCACAACCCTGAGATTAAAAGTCTCATGCTCTACCAACTGAGCTAGCCGGGCTTCAGTGGAGCATAATTCATGTACCTTGGCCAATGCATAAAAAGTTGATTCCGTAGTCACATCAGAATTGGCGGTGTAAATCAGCAGTCTGCGCTATTTTACATACAATTGGTCTTGAGTGAAATGTTAAATATTGTCAGACCAGAAAATATCTCGTGCACAGTCCGTCTTGAAGGCTGAATCAAATTTGCCAGGCATGTTCAAAGAAGGACTATTCACATCGCTTGCTCTCGAGGTCAAGTGGTTAAAGACTGTCAGGAGTGGGATTCGAACCCACGCCTCCATCAGAGACCAGATACCTCTCCAGGAAGCAAGGCGTTACGCCTTGAGTCTGGCGCCTTTGACCGCTCGGCCATCCTGACCTGAGCTAATCTACCACCAGAAGGTATAAAGGCACTGAGCCTAATCTTCCTGGCTCTTTCAATATACTTCAAGTACTACAACAACTCAATGAAGTACATTTGGCCAAAGTGCTATGAGTACATGTCAGCATCTATCAATAACATTCAAACATATCATTAAGTGTTTCAGCAAAGTTGATGGATTTGTAGCTACGTTTCATCGAGCACTGCTAAAAAGTCACCATCAAGGAAACAAAGTAAATAAACTGTGAAACGCCCAACGTGGGGCTCGAACCCACGACCCTGAGATTAAGAGTCTCATGCTCTACCAACTGAGCTCGCCGGGCTTCACAAAGGCATGTTTTTTTGCACCTGACAATGCAAGCAAAGTTGATTTCCAAGAACGTGATATGGTAGTATGACAAAATAGTACTAATTTTTTTTGCTTTAATGTTTGTCAGCATATTAAGAACTCTTATCAATTGAATTTAAACATAACAACAAGTGCTTAAACAAGACTGCTTGAGTGACAAAATCCTTTGGCAGAGGAGACAATTCAAGAATTAGCAGTACCCAACAACCCATTAAGAAGACTTAGTAAGTCACATTGAAAACGCCCAACGTGGGACTTGAACCCACGACCCTGAGATTAAAAGTCTCATGCTCCCAACTAGCTAGCCGGGCTTCAGTGGAACATAATTTATGTACCTCGGCCAATGCATAAAAAGTTGATTCCGTAGTCACATCAGAATTGGCGGTGTAAATCAGCAGTCTGCGCTAGTTTACATACAATTGGTCTTGAGTGAAATGTTAAATATTGTCAGACCAGAAAATATCTCGTGCACAGTCCGTCTTGAAGGCAGAATCAAATTTGCCAGGCATGTTCAAAGAAGGACTATTCACATCACTTGCTCTCGAGGTCAAGTGGTTAAAGACTGTCAGGAGTGGGATTCGAACCCACGCCTCCATCAGAGACCAGATACCTCTCCAGGAAGTAAGGCCTTACGCCTTGAGTCTGGCGCCTTTGACCGCTCGGCCATCCTGACCTGAGCTAATCTACCACCAGAAGGTATAAAGGCACTGAGTCTAATCTTCCTGGCTCTTTCAAAATACTTCAAGTACTACAACAACTCAATGAAGTACATTTGGCCAAAGGGCTATGAGTACATGTCAGCCTCTATCAATAACATTCAAACATATCATTAAGTGTTTCAGCAAAGTTGATGGATTTGTAGCTACGTTTCATCGAGCACTGCTAAACAGTCACCATCAAGGAAACAAAGTAAAAGAACTGTGAAACGCCCAACGTGGGGCTCGAACCCACGACCCTGAGATTAAGAGTCTCATGCTCTACCAACTGAGCTCGCCGGGCTTCACAAAGGGATGTTTTTTTGCACCTGACAATGCAAGCAAAGTTGATTTCCAAGAACGTGATATGGTAGTATGACAAAATAGTACTAATTTTTTTTGCTTTAATGGTTGTCAGCATATTGAGAACTCTTATCAATTGAATTTAAACATAACAACAAGTGCTTAAACAAGACTGCTTGAGTGACAAAATCCTTTGGCAGAGGAGACAATTCAAGAAGTAGCAGTACCCAACAACCCATTAAGAAGACTTAGTAAGTCACATTGAAAACGCCCAACGTGGGACTTGAACCCACGACCCTGAGATTAAAAGTCTCATGCTCTACCAACTGAGCTAGCCGGGCTTCAGTGGAACGTAATTCATGTACCTTGGCCAATGCATAAAAAGTTGATTCCGTAGTCACATCAGAATTGGCGGTGTAAATCAGCAGTCTGCGCTAGTTTACATACAATTGGTATTGAGTGAAATGTTAAATATTGTCAGACCAGAAAATATCTCGTGCACAGTCCGTCTTGAAGGCAGAATGAAATTTGCCAGGCATGTTCAAAGAAGGACTATTCACATCACTTGCTCTCGAGGTCAAGTGGTTAAAGACTGTCAGGAGTGGGATTCGAACCCACGACTCCTTCAGAGACCAGATACCTCTCCAGGAAGTAAGGCCTTACGCCTTGAGTCTGGCGCCTTTGACTGCTCGGCCATCCTGACCTGAGCTAATCTACCACCAGAAGGTATAAAGGCACTGAGCCTAATCGTCCTGGCTCTTTCAATATACTTCAAGTACTACAACAACTCAATGAAGTACATTTGGCCAAAGGGCTATGAGTACATGTCAGCCTCTATCAATAACATTCAAACATATCATTAAGTGTTTCAGCAAAGTTGATGGATTTGTAGCTACGTTTCATCGAGCACTGCTAAACAGTCACCATCAAGGAAACAAAGTAAAAGAACTGTGAAACGCCCAACGTGGGGCTCGAACCCACGACCCTGAGATTAAGAGTCTCATGCTCTACCAACTGAGCTCGCCGGGCTTCACAAAGGGATGTTTTTTTGCACCTGACAATGCAAGCAAAGTTGATTTCCAAGATCGTAATATAGTAGTATGACAAAATAGTACTAATTTTTTTTTGCTTTAATGGTTGTCAGCATATTGAGAACTCTTATCAATTGAATTTAAACATAACAACAAGTTCTTAAACAAGACTGCTTGAGTGACAAAATCCTTTGGCAGAGGAGACAATTCAAGAATTAGCAGTACCCAACAACCCATTAAGAAGACTTAGTAAGTCACATTGAAAACGCCCAACGTGGGACTTGAACCCACGACCCTGAGATTAAAAGTCTCATGCTCTACCAACTGAGCTAGCCGGGCTTCAGTGGAACATAATTCATGTACCTTGGCCAATGCATAAAAAGTTGATTCCGTAGTCACATCAGAATTGGTGGTGTAAATCAGCAGTCTGCGCTATTTTACATACAATTGGTCTTGAGTGAAATGTTAAATATTGTCAGACCAGAAAATATCTCGTGCACAGTCCGTCTTGAAGGCAGAATCAAATTTGCCAGGCATGTTCAAAGAAGGACTATTCACATCACTTGCTCTCGAGGTCAAGTGGTTAAAGACTGTCAGGAGTGGGATTCGAACCCACGCCTCCATCAGAGACCAGATACCTCTCCAGGAAGTAAGGCCTTACGCCTTGAGTCTGGCGCCTTTGACCGCTCGGCCATCCTGACCTGAGCTAATCTACCACCAGAAGGTATAAAGGCACTGAGTCTAATCTTCCTGGCTCTTTCAATATACTTCAAGTACTACAACAACTCAATGAAGTACGTTTGGCCAAAGGGCTATGAGTACATGTCAGCCTCTATCAATAACATTCAAACATATCATTAAGTGTTTCAGCAAAGTTGATGGATTTGTAGCTACGTTTCATCGAGCACTGCTAAACAGTCACCATCAAGGAAACAAAGTAAATGAACTGTGAAACGCCCAACGTGGGGCTCGAACCCACGACCCTGAGATTAAGAGTCTCATGCTCTACCAACTGAGCTCGCCGGGCTTCACAAAGGGATGTTTTTTTGCACCTGACAATGCAAGCAAAGTTGATTTCCAAGATCGTAATACAGTAGTACAAAAAAATAGTACTAATTTTTTTTTTGCTTTAA